CCCAAAACCCCAAAACCCCGTGAGTTAAGAATCTGATGTGAATAAGTAGTTATAGAAGGATACAAGCAATAAGTTCAGGGATTAATTTTCAAATTATAAAAACTCAGATTAGAATCAATTAATTATAATATAATTTCTATCATTACGCACAAGGAGTGTAGATATGGGAAACACAGACTCAAGAAAGACATTCAAACACGGTTCTGTTTCAGTCACCCTGGACAACTAACACCTGATGACTGGCGAGGTAGTCAAGGGAGAGGTTTCTTACAAGCTTACCTAAGCCTACCCAGGGGAACACCTGATCGTGGAATTCATCGGTAAGGAGAAAGTAATATACGAGGGATCAGACAAGAAAAATCATGATCCAAAGCACTCTGGCAAGATCGTCATTAAAAAGGAGCTCATTCGACTAACAAATAAGCTGTAAATCTTTGACAAATTGAAAGTCGAGCCTGGCCAAGCCTAATTCCCCTTTGAGTTCAAGATTCCTCAAGAGTTACCCTCAAGTTTATTCTTTTTGGGCCACAAAGAGGGCAAGATCAGTATTACCTATAAGATCGTAGCAAGAATTGACGAGCCAGTCATCAATGGCAAGCAGCAATTCAAGCCCCTGATTGCCAAGAGAGTAATGATTCTTAGTCAGCCCCTAAGCAAGGTCAACTTCAATGTGTCTATGAAGCAAGAGAACAACATCAAGACTCTGCTTTTGTTCAACGCTGGCAAATCCAAGGTCGATGTTACTCTCGACAAGGATGCTTACACCACCAAAGAAACTATCAATCTCAATCTCAACTTCGACAACAAGGAATGTGACACTGATGTCAAGAGTGCCAAAGTCAGACTCATCAGAGAAATCAACTCGGTATCTGCTGGGGGTGTCGAGTATTCTGACAAAACTATCCTAATGAAGAGGAAATGCGAGGGAGTTCATGCCAAAACCACTTAGCAAAGAATATTTTAGATTCCTCTAGACATAATTGACTTCAAGCGTGATTCGTTGCTTAAGGATTTCAGAAAGAAGAGACAATTCTTCTGTGAAGAGATGAATGAGTGGCTTTACACTCTTCAGCCCTCAACCAACGGAAGCTACTTCACCTGCAAATATTACGCTAAAATTACATTCAGACACTCTGCTGCTACTCTTGGCCAGAAACTTGGAGAAATCTTTGTACCAATCCAGATCTACTTCATCAGTAGCACCTTTGCTGGCATGCCAAAGTATATTCCTCCCGCTGATGAAGAAATGGATCAACCATAGAGTCAGTCACTTGCAGAGAAATAAGCTACCAAGGAAGAAATTTTGCCTCCAAATCCATATCTTAATCACATGATGTAGCAAACTAATGCCCATCAATAACCAATTCAACAGCAATAATAGCTACCTTAACAACAATACTAATATTCATATCAAGCTTATGGTGGTCAGCAAAACCTCGCCTTCGGTCAACCAGTAGTCGGAAATAACGGCTACAATTTCCAAGCCTCTCAAACTGTCTCGAACAACTCAGGAGGTTCTTTGTATCCTAGTTTGGACTTACCCCCACTTACTCAGTATAACTATCAGCCATACTCATACGGAGGTCAGCAACAACACTAACCAAGTCAAGTTCAGCACCAACCTTAACAATTGACTCAAACTCTCCCAGCATATAACTTCAGCTATTAATATGATGAACCTGCTAAACAGCAACAAATGCAACCAGCTAATCATTGAGAAGTATCAATCAAGCTCTGAGGATACTTAAAGTTGAGATTATCATCAATAATTATTAACTCCCAAGAACTAAGCTAATATATAATTTCAAAAATAACATCCGACTCAATTTTTTCTCTGATTCTAATAGCGTGGGGTTTTGGGGTTTTGGGGTTTTGGGG